AGTCTACAAATAGCCTCCAACATTTGATTTATGCGGCACTTTAAACTGTCGCTAACTTTGAAATCACAAGGTAAATGACCTAATAACGGGATGATTTGTTAGCCATCATATGTCTCATCTGTCACACAGCTAAAGTCCAATGTCAATCACTTCCCCGGCCTGTACTTTGGTCAATCTCCATAACGATAAGAGGGCGCCGACCAGCATATCAGTCCGGAGTGATAAGGGTTCATTCGAGTGTTTACATTGCAGGCATGGTCCAGTCTGAGCTCATAGAGCAAACTCTTCAAACAAATGGACAGGCTGGTGGGACTGCCCATCAGCCCACGCTCCTTCTCTATGACCACCGTAGTGCCCCCCTGGAACCCTTCTTCTTACAGGCCTGTCGGCACTCAGGCCACAAGACGAATGGATTAAACATTAACCTGTGGTGCACACTCTGTCTCTCAAACATACATGCACGCACACACTGAATGATCATGCAAACTCTCAGAAAGAGCTTGATGTCATATTGTCAGGCACCAATGTTGCATGGAAGACTTCAAGTTTTTGGATGAGGAAGGTAGGGCGGTAGTGTTTTGTTTATTTAAGGTATTATTTGGTTTTCGTCTTCTGCAAACTATGCTTGATGGCAGTCTTTGGAAAACCACATTTTCTGGATTGCTGATTTTATTCTGGCATCACTAACAAATATGTGCGGAGTTTATTTACCTTTATTCTCTCTTGTTGCCCAGGTGCTTTCTCATGCACTTCGAAGTAGTACATTATTGTCAGTAATGTTTTGGTTTTTTTTTTCCACGCCTTGTTGAGACAGGCCCATACACGCCTCTAATGTCTAGGTCTGCTTCCTACTTTATCAGCATTTTCTCGTCATCACACCCTGTGATGTTTGTTGTCCTCAATCCTGTTGGTTTTTGGAAAGCTTCAAGATTTATTAGATTCCTCTGAGACAATAGTTAGTCACAGAGGCTGCATGACTTTACCCTCTCAGCAATCAACTGCGGCCAGATAAGTTTGTGGATGTATACAATATATGTCACGAGATCAGATACCATTATCCCTGTAAGTGATAGATGTCACCACTTAGGCAGCACAGAGGGATTTTTAGTTCATTTTCCTGAAATATCTCAGATGACTGAATAAACTGACTTCATGCTGTTCGATGTCCTTTCCTGTTGGGAGAGCAAGAAGCTGTCTACGTGTCTGGGTCACGTTCAGAGCATGTTTATCTGTTTCAGCCAGAGCTTACTAGCTGTTTCATGGCCTGTCTGGTTAATGCGGGACTTGACTGCATTGGATGAGCGTAACGTGGGGGGCTGGGTGGCCATGCTAAGCAGGAATCCATCGGACTGTATGGATTATTTATGCTCCACTCACACATATAGCCATGTGATCACTGGTACAGACTGCTAATACACATTTAACCTATATTTGCAGCAAATCAAAATGGTATATATTGACGTTAAAGTGAAGTAGGAGGTTGTAGCCCTCTTCACACGCTTGCTGCCCACCCTCTGCTTCTGACTTCAAAGTCTGATTTGTGTGTCGGCATTGTCATGGTATTGTCATGGTGACCTTACTGGTTGGCAGCCTTTTTTTTTTTTTTTTTTGTCAGTGTAACCCCCCTTGTCCCATTTTGGGCCCTAACTCCAACCCCAGCACGCACACAAACACATATGACCTTGCTCATCTTCCACTCAGTGTGCACAGTGCCCTCAGCAGGCTTGGTTGAGTGAGCACAAGAGAGGTCTTGACCTATGAGACAAAGGGTTGCTGTTACCGTAGGAACTGCTGTTTTCTTTTCTCTCTGCCTCACTTGCTCACTCTGTCTCACACATTGCTGATAAAGACTCTGTAATGTAGCTTAACTGACATTCCTCTCCACCCCCCCATGTCGCTCTCTGCCATCCTCTATCTCAATCCACTAGACCTCTGTAGTCTGCAGCTAATCCGCTCTGTGTGTTTACATTCTTATGGACGGTATGTTGGTGGCAACATGAGGTTAGCTTGGTCCATCACTTCATAGCTGCTGGTTGGGAGGTCGTGAGTTCAGTGAAGGACTTGGGTTTTGTATGTTATATAAATAGAAAGTCATGCATGCTCTGGGTGTGTTGATACAAAACCTTGCCCTCAAGTCTACTTTAGATTGATTCATATCTGAACTGTGCAAGAAGTTTTAACTGGCCTTTACAGCCACAAATTCATCTCATCTTACGACTAGATTGCATGTGCAGGTTAATGGAGTTTTGTGTGACGAGATAGTATGGATGTTTGCTAAGCTGTAGCCAAGGGGCTTCTTTATTTTTCCTCTTGAAGCAATATTATAATGAGACAGTGCTGAGTGAAGCGAGTGTATGAGACAGGATGTCCTCAAAAGGAAGACCTGAGGGTCAGGAGCTAGAGGCTGAATGCTAAAGAGGTTTACTTTGTGCTAGCAGAGCTAACACTGCCTCCATTCAGAATTACAAGTATATTGTAGAGTGAGTAGCTCAGTAAAGCTGCCTGCTGACATGCCAGGCCTCTTTTCATGTAGACTAGTGTTTTTAACGGGTGGGAATCACCAGGTTTTTTTTTTTTTTACTATCAAACACCGTTTAGGGCCTTTGAGCTGTAAATCCTGATGATAAATCCATTGCATTTTGATTTTGGTTAACCTAAAAACACTGCTGCTTGTATGCAGTCTTTTCTTTTTATCATTAGCTGTTCAGTTATCAGAGTCTTCAAAACATAGTAGTATGTCTTTCCTATGCCAGTAAAGACAGAATTTCCAATACTCTTGACCTCCATGCGCTAAAGCACATGTATACCTTGTTACTTTCAAGCTTCCTCTAAAATATTTGCAAAAGCTTATTGTACTAGGCCCCCCAGTAACTCAACCGGATAAGATGGCGACCCACAAACAGGGCCTATAGTCCCCGAGGCAGCAGTTGTGGGATCGACTCCCGACCACGGCCGTTTGCTGCAGGTCTTTCCCCACTCTTCTCCCCCCTTTCCTGTCTCTCTCCTCTGCTCTGATAAATAAAGGCAAAAAGCCAAAAAGAAAATTAAGCAAAAAAAAAAAAACAAAGCTCAGTGTTGTGCTGACGAACTGGTTTCCTGTGCACAAGCACCTAGATTTTTTTTTTTTCCAACTCTGTCATGTGCAGCTAAGGCATCTCTAAACTAATCAGCAAAAGAGTGATGTAAATGTAGTACTTGCTTGGTCTACACCAGTTTGGATTTCTCTTCAACAATTTGTTTTGTGGTTTCAAAAGACAGCTCAGCACTTATCTGTTTCACATCCACCCTAAACATCTCACATGGCTAGACTTTGAGGGAAGTTTATTGTCTTGCTGTTGCTGTTTTTACATACGTTTCTATGTTTTAGTCACATTACTCATCTGCCATACTCCTAAAAGGCCCTGTTAGTAGTAGGGACCTACCTTGGTTTCTTCTAATCTTTTCCCACTACTTGAAGTACATCAGAACCAAAGTAGGGCATTTTAGAAGTCGGTTAAAAATAGTTGATACCAGTAATAAATAAAAGATGCTGAATGTTGGATCCAGTTACCTACCAGGCCTATTGAGCTTCACTCAATGCAAAACTATATGCAAATGACCTATATGTAGCTGTCTTATTGATGTACCTCTCTTTACTGTCGTTACATATTTTAAATAGACGCACAGGGAGAACAAAAAGTTACTGAACATGCATTCTCTCTCTCTTCTTAAATAGCCGATGGTACTTTACACGGTACAGGGCAAGTTAAGGAGAAACCAAAGGCGGTCATGTGTTAAGGTATGGAATGGCTCAGAACAACCGGCAGCTGCTGTCTTGTAGTCCTATAGCCCCCCCACCCACATCCCACTGTCACCCTCCACCTCTACTTGTTTGATGTTCTTAGCGGGGCCTGATGAGAAGAGCTTAGGAAAGATTGACCCAGTTTACACGCGTATGTATAAGTTAGAATATGTGATGTAAAGTCCGTTCCGTCTGCCACTCTTAAGCTTAGCCGGAGAGGCAAGCCCACTTCCTAATGCACTTTCTTGTGTACCTCATAGCTCCTCCCACTTCCCACTGTGCATTTCAGCAACATTTCATCCGTCTACTGTACATGCCAGCATGTTTCTTGTAGTCAATTCCAGACCCAGCCTTCGTTTCCCATCACAGCTTTAGCCAGCCCAGTGACCTACATTCATACCTCTACATGTCTGTACCGCATTCTGTCTCCCTGTCCCCGGCCCTTTACTTTCTGCAGCACGATGACGTTTGTGTGGCTAAGGTTACTGTATTTGGAGTGAGTAGCTCATAGGAGTGGAGGATCCTGTGTTATGTCATAGGATAGGCAGCTGACCAACGTGCATCACCTGGCGATGTACGTTGGTCAGCATGTCATGGAGGAACCGTGTGCACTGAAGGATAATGGAGTATTACTCTGTTGTGTTGATGATGGTAATGATAATAGGTTTTTTTAGCCTGTCTGTCTCTCAGTCTACAACTCAACATACTGAAACATCTCAACAACTTTTGGATGACTTGTGCTAGAATTTTGTGTAGATATTTATGGTGACCAGAGAATGAATCCTTAGAACTTGGATCATCTGCTGACTTCTCGTCTTGTGTCAGAATTGTCACTTATCTGGTGAGATAACATCTTCTAGATAGATTGGTATGAAAAAAATAGGCTTTTTCCGGATGATATGCTGAGATTCTCTGGTGTCACAAAGGGATTTGTGACTGTGAGTGACATCTCTCAACAACTTTTGGATGGACTGCCATGAGTTTTGTACAACATTCATCTCCCCCTCTGACTGCATTTAGTCGATCATCAAGTAAAACTTTCAAAATGCTGAAAGGAAATGCAGTGTGAGCACGCTAAACTGAGATGGCGCACAAGGTTAACATGTTGACAAGATATCAGCATGTTAGCATTGTCAACTTGAGCTTGTTGGCAAGCTGACAAAGGTATTTGGCACAAAGCGGCGCCATATATAAGTTCAGCCTTGTAGTTGCACAGATGTAAACTTTTAGTCTCTTGAAATTACAACTGAGGTGAAATTAGAAATCGTCTTGTTATCCTCTGTCTGCCTGTCGATATTTTCATATCACCTCTTTGACCTCTGTTTTTTTCTCTCTACCCTCCCCCTGTTCTAGTCTGATGAGTGAGAGTGTCGCCAACCCGCTCCTCCACCACAATGGTCGACATGGAGAGCCACTACCATCCCCCTTCTCCACTGGAGGACTCAGTGCTGGACAGCCCCCTGTGCGCTGATGATGATTTCTTGGGTGGCATGGAGGAGCTCCAGGACATCTCCCAATCCATCAACGACGATGCCCTAAGCTCCTTCGATGTCCCCGAATACCAGTCCTCCAGCAATGGCTCAGAAGGTTCGACTGTCCTAGGTAAAAACAAAAGGTCTCATTTCTCCTTAGGTCTTTAATAATACAGTCCAGTGACAACATGAGGTTTGCTGCCCCAGGCTTATTTCACTGTTCAACATGCCCTCAGCAACTCAATGTAAAGTCCTTGTCTTTGCTATTGTTACCAGAGTAGGGGTCCCTCATTTTAACCCTTTAATCCCTAATTTGCTCTAATTGAATGTTCAGAGAGGACATGCTCTTTAGCTGTTCCATTTGCCTTACCCTGCAACAAGGTTGTGCTGCAGCCATTTCTTTCCTCAGATTGTCTGATTGACCCACTTTTTCAGGCCTTTGGGCAGTAGTCCTTTGATTGATTGGTGTATCTTTTTCTAGCTATGACTAGCTGTGAGGATTCGTTTCCTCTCCCATTTCCTGTCCATTTCCTGTCCATTTATTTTTGTTTTCCCTTCTTCATTCTGTTTTTCCTCTCACATCTTATTTTCCTTTTATCTTCTGTATGCCTTCGTTATACCTCTCTTTCCTCCTCCAGCCCTTTTCCTCGCCCCATATCCAAAGAGGAATTCACACATTCCTCAGCCACCACGCACAACCTCTCAGGAAACATCCACTTTGCTGCAAAGTTTCCTCCTGAATAGACACTGACGTCTGGTAAATTTATGCACCAGCAAAATTATGCAACGAGTGAAGAAGTCGTGAAAGATAAACATTTAATGGGAGAATAGACGGTGTGAGTGTAGGAGGAGGAATGAAAGAAGAAAAGAGTGTGACGAAGGCATTGCAGAAGCATTTGATGATGTCATGGAAAAGTCAATGAGAGTGGGTTTAGGATTTATAGGTGTTTAGGAGTGCAGAGATAGTGAGAGACAGAAGCAACACTGACATGCTTTTCTTGTCTACACTCAGTTGAAACGTGTACTTGCACCAGGCAGGAACACAGCTCACTGCCAAATGCTGCTTATCCCTGTTCTGGCGTTGCTCACCTAAACTCATGTGGCTTGACTTAGTGCCACTGTTTTGTACCATTTTCTCTGTGCTATTTGTGTACCAAGCAAGTTCTACCAACCCTGTACCCTCATAAGTTGGAAATAGAAAACTGTTGGCAACCCACGGCACATCCTGTGACCTGTCATCCATGAGGAAGCTTAGTAATACTACTACATGACGCTGTTGATAGGCACCACACCACAGACGGCATGTTAACATCTCTGAATAAATAGTTGTTGTGATGGAACAAACTGTCTTTGTTGGGGTAAAGAGGTCAAACTGTACTTGATTTTCACAAGCTCTTTGCCAGAGGGAGATGAAACAGTAGAGGTGCATTCATTAAAGCAGATTCTTATTTTTATTTTTACTTGAAATCTCTGGAGATGAAGAATCCACTGGTTGTCCAGTTGTGGTAATGAGACCAACTTGTATGTGCTGTGGGCCAAAGCAAAATGGGATTAATTGGTATGCTTGTCTACATGAAATATGGAATTGAACTTCTCTAGAGATGAAAATGATGGATGTTTGATTGGAATCAACTAGTTCATACAAAGTGTTAATGAAGAGTTTGAGATCCATATGGGAATTGTTGAAATGGGAAACAGTTCATACTTAGATGGCCGTTCATCAAATGTTTTAAGATTGCACAATCAAAAACTGCCAGAATTGGATGTGAAAAGAATAAAATATAATGTATACTTCTTCACCTTCGTACACCTGGTCAGTTATTGTCTGATGTGGGTATGCTTATCGGATTGTCAGTTTTGGAAAGCTAGCAAAGTGCTGGATGTTCCTCAGAGCTGTTGTTCTGAGTAATTGGTTCTTCGTATAAATGTTAATCTTTAGAAACAGATCCTTAAAGATAATGTAATTTGGCTGAATCCTTTTCTTCTCATTCCTGTGTCAGTTTAAATCATTATGGTATTTGTCAACAACAAGAAAGCGAAGATGCCTTCAACTGACTTGACATTTTATTGGCATTCCATTTAGCAGTAACAATATTTAGGGGCAATAGTGCAGCGACACATTTAACCACCCGCATGCTTGTGTTTTGTAGATGCCCTGACACCAGCTTCCAGCCCGTCGTCAGGGGTTTATGGGGTTGCGACAAGCCAGGACGAGTTCTCATCTTCCTCCTCGTCACTCAATCTGGAGTGCCGAGTGTGTGCTGACCGTGCCTCGGGCTACCACTACGGAGTCCATGCTTGTGAGGGCTGCAAGGTGAGATAAAAATTGCACATATAAATTGCGCAAATCAGTGGTTCTGTCTCTATGTTCGACTAGACCAATGTAAGCAGTAGAGAATGAGCGAGCGGCCTTCAAGGATCTCCCTTATCTCCTCATGCTGAACTGTGCATCACTCACTCTTGCGTTCTCTTCGGGCTGGAGTTATGTTAATATCATCAATCTTCATTCATGCATACATATTGAACAGATTCTAAATAATACAGTAAATCATAATTTGAGGTATAACACTGAGAAAGTTGGACATGCCTGGCCGAATCCAGAGGCTATGTCTTGTGACTAATGATAACTCTTAAAAGCATCAGAAATACCAGGCTCGGCCTTCACACGTGGTCGCTCAGTAATCTTTCAGTTAATTGTTTACCAGTTATGTTGAAGAACAACCCAAGGCTGTTTTAAAGAGGTACCAAAGGACAAAGATAGCGTAACTTGTGGTGTTGGTCCATGTTTGTCAGTCTATGTTGGCATTTTTTTTATTTTTTTTGTCTTCTTTTATATTTTGTTTCTCTTGTATTTCTTACTTTTCTTTCTATATCTAGTCCCTCCCGGGAGGGAAAAAAATACGTAAAAATAACAACTGAAGCAAAAAACAGTTCCACTGCTCCTTTATGGGAATCCAACATGTTCCAACTAAATGTATCAAGAAAGGGAGTAAAATTTTCAAGAAGCAATGTATAAACTCAGTCAGACTGGCAGCTTTTGCTGAGATGTGCAACTGTGCAGTAGTGAAATATTGTGCCTTGGTTTTCATGTAATGGTGAAATACGGTGACATACGTACGCATATGTGTTATTGGTCATCCATGCTTCAAATACAGAAGTATCTACAATACACAAAGGCCTTGGCCGGTCCACAAGGGGGAGTCAGAGTTGTATGACTTATGCTGGGTAAAGTTGTAAAATGAGTAAGCAACAGCTTATCACAAAAGTCAAGGTAAATGTGTTGATTTTAACACCTACCTTAAGGAGTGAGTCATGTCAAGGTGCATCTGTGAGAAGGGGTAATAGTAAATCTCATGCTTGCAATATTAGTTTGGTTAGCTAAAGTGAGAATTTCTTGATCAAAGCTAAGAATTTCCATTGTCTTCTTCACTGCCTTCAGTATTTTGTAAACCGCTGTGCAAAATTTGTTATATGTTAAAATAGAGTGATTGGGTTGTTGTTGTTGTTGACAGCTCCTCAAGTTGGTATTTCTATTTGCTATGTGCAGACTGGGTAAGAATGCAAGAAAATAAAGGATTAAGGCCCCTCTCCAGGCATTGATTCAATTCCTAAAAAACTCATCGATATCTATCAGTTTCATATGTCAAAAGTTTTTCATTTGGAATAATTCCTCACTGCCTTAAAATAGCTTACATGTAACCAGTGAAGTCCCCACCTCTATGTCCACCCACCTCTCTCCACTCGCTGCAACTTGAGCACACCAGCCACTCTGCCTACATGCTGCAAAGCTACTCAACGCTACACATTTTTGGACTAATGTAGCCGGACATGTTCAAATCAGAAACCAATTCAGATGAAGAATAATGATACAGAAAGTCCCACTGTGCAAGCCTACACGATTGACTCCTCAGGTTTGTTACATTAGAAACCCTGAAAGTCTGAATCCAAACTTTTGAGACTGTTATTGGAACACTGCAGTTTTAAGGTGGAAAATTTTTTAAAATAAACTTTGTGCTGTTTGCATGGTTTTATAGCTGTTTGTGTGTGCGTGTCAGGCAAGAGGTTAGTGGGGGAAAGTCAGCTGGAGTTACTTAACACGCGTTGACACAGTTGTAGCATGCTTGGTAATTCTATGTAATCTTTCACTGTATGTCCATCTGTGTGTCTTTCAAACTGTGTGTGGGTGTCTGTATATTTTTTGGCACACTGGATGACACATTTTGATAAGACAGAAATTTGCTATTAAGTATGGCTCAATGTGTTATTAGGTAATTCCCCAGGCCATTTTCTACCCTCCATCCAACCACAGATGTGCCATGTGGTCCAAGTGTTGCTTACTAAAGTTACTTTTTTTTTTCTTTCTGTCAGTGTTGTGTAAGCAGGGAGACCCCAGTGGTGAAACAATACATTTAATATTATCCTTCACCATTAAAGTGTGAACAAACAACTCTTTGTAATGCCGCAAGTTGGTCAATAGTTTGTTCTCTGAAACTGGTTGCATAGCAGCTGGGTTTATTACAAGGTAGTTACTATACTTTGCAGATTTTGTGAGGTTTTTTTCAACAAATGTGTCAGTAATTCAATGTTTGCTTCTTGTGAGCAGTATTTACATTTCTCATGTTTCCCCGCCTCATTCCTCCAGGGTTTTTTTCGGCGGACCATCCGTCTGAAGCTGGAGTATGACAAGTGTGAACGCCGCTGCAAAATCCAAAAAAAGAACCGCAACAAGTGCCAATACTGCCGCTTCCAGAAGTGCCTGTCAGTGGGCATGTCCCACAATGGTGAGTCCTACAGAGTGAACGAAGAGAACAGCAGGTCTGGACAATCCTTCAAGCTCAGCAGCACTTACAGACACACACACACACACACACACACACACACACACACAAACATCCATGGTCATGGTTACTTGTAAACACACATTACTTAACATATGCGCTGTTTGCCAAAAGAGACAGTAGAGGCAAGTATGCACATAATTAGCACGAATAAGCTCAAACGTGACAGTTGGGTGTTAAGTTGCATGTTATGGCAGGTCGCTATGTAAAAACTAATTTGTGCTATTATAGTGTACAACTGTACTGTATGTCCTCTCCTAAAAGTGCAGCTTTCAACATTTGAACCATTAGTTTTTTACAGGTAGATCTGCAACTCATGCAGTTACAGTACACGGTCTTTCCTGCCTTAGCAGTGCTACAGTCACATCGTATTACAGTTGTATTGACTGAACCCACTTGACCCATTTGGTGCAGATATGTGAACAGGAAGGGAAATCACATGACTGGGTGGGTCTGTCCACCTGATTATGTTATTTCAGGCTCACAAACACTTGGGTCACACTAATTGCAAGGTTTGCTGCCCATACAGCTCTGAGACTCAAGAAGCATCAGTTTTAAGACTGAAATATCTGAAGTCATTTTCATTAAGGCTGTTTAATCATCTGTGATGCTTGTGCGTCAGCAGCACATTCAATAGTTGATCTTCCTAAACAGTTCTGTTTATGTTGATGCTGAAAAAAATATCATTACATACAGCAATCTTTTTTTTTTTATTCCTCTTAGGGTGTTGTAAAAAGCAAAAGGATAATAAAGGATAATATTACAATTTTGTGACCAAATGCAGTGCATATAAAAAATGTTCACCCCTCTTGGAATTTTTTCCCCTTTTATTGCTTTTCAACAATAAATTATGGTCAATTATATTTGGCTTTATTGTCAAGAATTTACAACCAAAAAAAAAGACATTAATTCCAAAGTGAAAACAGTTTGCAACAAAGCAATGCCATTTAATTAAAAATATAAAACAGAAAGCCTATTATTGCATAACTGCTCACCCTTTTCAAGTCAGTATGTAGCAGCTGCACATTTGGCAGCCTTTGTAGATAGGTCTCAAACTGCCTTGCACATTTGGACACTCCAATTTTACCTGCAAAACTGTCGCGCTCTGTCAGGTTGCAAGGGGATTGTGAGTGAACAGCCCATTTCAAGTTAAGCCCAAAATTCTCAACTGGACTGAGGTCTGGGCTCTGACTCAGCCACTCCAGAACCTCCACCTTGTTACTGTTAAACCATTTCTTTGTAGCTTTGGCTGTATGCTTTAAGTAATTGCGTTGCTGGAAAACAAATCTTGTCCCAAATTGCAGTTTTCCCGCAGACTGCACAAGGTTGTCCTCCAGGATTTCCCTTTACTTTGCTGCATTTATTTTACCCTCTAACTACACAAATATTCCTGGGCTTGCTGCCAAGAAGCATTCCCACATCATGATGGTGCCACCACCATGCTTCATGATGTGGATGGTGTGTTTGTCACGATGAATACTTTTCATAGGCACTTTACAGCTGTTAATAGAATATCTTGGGGAATAAAATAACATAAGTAATCACAAACAACCTATGAATGGAGTACTACTGACCTACACATGCAACAGATGTAAACACCCTAAACCCAACATAGACTTCCTTAAAAGCTTTACATTAGATCTTTGTTCTTTGAAATACAGAAATATTGGATTAGGGTTAAATATTGGTGTTTGTTTGTTTTTTTTCTGCCAGAGGGGTTAATGTTAAGAGAGGTCAGTTGAGGCGATCAAGACTGTGCACACTTGGTGATAGTGAACTTGACTGGACAGAGGAAAGAGTCTCATTGAGTTATTGACGTAAGAGCCTTCCCAGTGGTTCTTAAGACATAGCTTAGATTTTGAAGCTCAGCAGTAGTAGTATATCTGTCAGCTGCACTTCCTGTTATGGTATATGTGTATTGAGTTTCATGGACCTAAATGTAACCGTAGAGAGGGAGGAAGGACATTTGAGACCAGCGCAACCAGATCTTTGGAGATCTGGTGGTCTCAGATACCACAGGACTACAGCACTGCTAATTTTGGAGGTTTGCATCGACCGCTAATTGATTTTACAGTTAAACCTAACCATTCCGGATGCCGCTTATTGAAATGATTTTGCAGCCTCAACATTTATTTTTTTTTTTCTTCAGTATTAAATGTTCAGGCATACATTCATACCAGGATCATCAGGAATACATATACGTGGTATCTATCCATTAAAATGATGAGGTTTACAAAAACACAGTGACATATTCACATTCAGATCTTGTTATACAATTATAGAGCATGCTCTATTGTATTTATTAATATATTTATTAGCATTAAATCCTGTATTTCTGTCTGAAGCCCAGTTGAAAAGTGGTAACAGTAGCATAACTGATTCTGGGTCAGTGTAGCAAAAATGTGTATTTACTGTTCAGTTAAAAAATATTTTTGGTTACTTTTTTTAGATACTTTTTTTTATTATGACAGAGTTTTAGGGCCACATTGAGAAAAATCTTTTTCCACAGACTTCAAGAATAAAGTTGTAATATTAAGAGAATAAAGTTGTAATTTTACAAGAAAAGCTTGTAATATTACAAGAAAAAAGGCGTAATTTTACGAGAATAAAGTTGTAATATTACGAGAATAAGGTCGTAGCATTTAAACCAGCTGTTTTAGAAGAGGAAAGTTGTTAAAATGAGAGCCGTGGTGAAACCGATGCTGAAGTACAACTTCACTAAATGCTTCATAGCCCTCATTTTAACAACGTTCCTCTTCCAAAACAACTGATTGAAGTGTTACAACTTTATTCTCGTAAAATTACGACTTTATTCTTGTTAAATTTCGACTTTTTTCTCGTAATATTACAACTTCATTTTCGAAGTCTGTGGAAAAAAAAGTTCTTAATGTGGCCCGAATACTCGGTCGTACTTTATACCTTTTATGCGCTTATATAGGCTTTACTTATTTTCTGTACTCCTAACCAAAGCACAGTTCTTGACTATCAAACATGACTGAAAGTCTCTTGGATCTAGCCACTTGGTTAGACCTCAGATCTCACATGCTGACTAGATAGGCCCCAAAAACAGAAAATTCGACGGACTGACAGACTGTCCCCCCTCCTCCCACCTTTACCTTGCTTCACCACTTGAGTCGCATACTTATCCCTTCACACCGGCTCTTCAGAATTGGACTTACGCTCAGCTTAGCATCAGTCACTTCCTCACATCTTAATTAGACTTGGCTCCTGCCCAGGCTCCCGCCGTGGAGCTTTACCAGCTTCAGATGATCCATCCACTTTGTGAGCAGTAATCTAATGGGCCCTCATGCTGTCTGCTCGCTCCGTATCCGCATCCCTGCTCAGTATGCATGGATTTGTTTCATCTGTGGGAGGGAAAACGGAGAAATCAGATCTTCTTTTATGCTTTTATGGTCTCGTAAAAGCAGGCAGTTGGTACAGCTGGATGTTGTGTTTTCAGTGAGGTATAAAGGTATGTTACGTATGTGTGTGTGTGTGTGCCAGGTTGTGCCCGTTTAAACTGGTGAGGTGGGGTTTAAAACAGTTCACCTCTAATCTTGTTAGTCAAATGGGATCAGGCCGTCTGAGAGATGAAACGTCGTCTAAGAAAAACAACTCTTGTATGTTACTGAAGCACATTCCATTCAGCTGGTGCCCACTGTGTAATGAGTAGAAACCTGTGCTTGTAATACAGTAAAAAGGAAGCTCAGTTGATGCTGAATAGATGTGGATTCAGTTTCCATTTCTATTTCACTCCATAAGAGGTTATTGTAGCTGCATTCACTGTCCGAGTGAAACCTCTTGCATCTTTAAAACTAAAGTAGACGTCTATGTCTTTGAAAATACCTTCTATGGTAAGCTGCTCTGTGTTTCGTGACACTTTGGTTGGTTTACTTTGCTGTAGATTTATTGTAAGTGTCCTGTTCAGGTTCTGTTTTTTGCTAGGAAATCTAGTTAGTGTTTCTGTAAAACACAGAAGAACGAAGTCATCTTTATAAAACAAGGATTTAACTTCTTAAAATGAAAGTCTTTGAGCTGCATTTTGGTGCAGCTGTCAGATAATTCATTTATGCTGACATTGAGAAATGCCAGATACAAATTGCATCACTTTTTTGTTTGAGGTCATTGTGCAGAATCGAGTCACGCTTTGAAAATCGGTCTGATTTATGTTATGTCTCTTTAGTTGTATATGTTTTATCTTGACTTGTGGTCTGTTGTGGAACGTTATGGTGTGATTCCAGTTAGATTCGTACTCATGATACACTCCTTGTGTTCTATGTAAGAGTCTCTTGTTTAGAACACAACAGAATGTTCTCAGATCCATAGATTTGGAGAAATCAGGCTTTGGCACCAGATGAGCAGGGTAAGCCTGTGAATAGGTCAAGCACTGCTTTTTGTGGTGGCATTTTTGAACGTTTCATAGCTATTTCTCCACAAGCCTTTTGGGTTTGGATAGTTTTCACATTTTTGGATACATCTAATGTTTTCTTTTTTTGTCTTTGCTGATGCGTTGATTTGGAACTATATTATTAAGCCAGGCATCTGTGTAGAGTTTTCAGGAACTGGGTGTGTCTAAAGCACTCAGTGTATTATTTATGTTCATACATCATTCTCACTGTGTTTTATTGGAAGTCCTGTTTAACCTGGTGTTTAGGCTAAACTGCATCATATGTATTGTGTTTCCCTGGCACTGTAAATCCTTGTATGACTTAATATTTTAATGTTTGCCACAAAGTCATGTTAATCTGACTTTCTGTCTTCTCCACACAGCCATCCGCTTTGGTAGGATGCCCCAGTCAGAAAAGCTAAAACTAAAGGCAGAGATGGTGACGGGGGACAGGGAGGTGGAAGACCCCCACCTGGCCGACCAGAAGACCCTGGCCAGGCAGATTTATGAGGCCTACCTCAAGAACTTCAACATGAACAAGGCTAAGGCTCGGACCATTCTCACCGGCAAGACCAGTACCCCTGTACGTTGATTAAGAGTATTGGGTTGGTGAGTGAAAGGCATTGCGTGTGTGGATTGCATTCTCATTACCAGAGTTTCCTCACAGGCCAAGGTCATGTTGTCTTGCAACTTTTAATTTATTTCTTCCCCATTGGAGTGATTTTAATCTCATTCTGAGCACATTCAAAACTTGCAATCAAACTAATGTCTCAATATGACCTAGCAGTCAGTACCTCAGAGATTACATGCAGCCAGCCAGTGACAGAAATAACTTGCTCAATCAGCAGCGTGAGCCAACACATAAGCTGGACAAGGAGACTTCTGTTTGCACAGAAACGATATAAAGAGCCAGTGTATGAGCCCATCACTTCTCCCTTCACCTCCTCTTTTCCTGCATGCCTATGTTCTTTTCATCACCCGTCCCCAATCTCTCTAGAAACACTCCCGCTCAGCTTTGGTTCTTTCACTTTTCTTTCATCTGGAAAAAGAGGGGAGGTGGGGAGTTGAGAAAGGGAGGGTCAGGGACTGCAGCTCAGAGATGTTGTGAATTCCTTGGATGAATGAATGTAGGTGTGAAATAGGTCAAGAGGGACAGGTCAGTCCAAGTGCACATGTATGTTCAAATACATTTCTTAGCCCCTGTGTCTGGAGATCAAAGCATAGTGTTTCTTTCAGCCTTACGTTTAGAGTTCATTCCCTGTGTCACAGTACTTTTAGACAACTCTGAACCTCCCGTGAAAGTCATATTGTACTGTTTCCCAAGGCTCTGTGTATAAATGCGAACATGAGATTGTGGTAAAAAAATGTAAAATTCCAATCTCACTGCATCTTGTCAGGATTTAAAATTAACCAAACAAATCTGTTGGAAATATGTTTTGTGTTAGATATATTTTATCTGTGAAATAATCACTCCCTTAGAAAAGTCGATCCTCTGTCATCAATGTATTTGGATACATTTAGTACTTGTAACCAAGCCAGAACATTCCCATCAGGTTTGACTCATCAGTCTCAGCATCTGGGTGCAGTATTGGCAGATAGTTGTGTTAGGGTTGGCTCAGGTTTGTCTACACCAAATATCAGTTAAGTTGTCTGACTGAACAGGTTTTGCTGCAGTGTGATTCACTCTGGTCCACTGAATAGTTTATTGGGGAAAACAAGAATATCATTCCTCTTTAAGAAATTGTAACTATTGCCAATAGAGCTGTAAATAGTTATTTTTTTCTGTTGGGTAGTTTCTGGCGTGCATATAGAACAACTGATGGGATGATACCATGAAGACTAAGTTACACGCTTTGTTTCTTGAAGTTTCTGTTTTGGTCTCAGTGGACTTCATCAAAATCTTTGAGAAACACTGCTGCCAAATGGGGCAGGAGGGAGAGACAGGATTGCATGTTCAAACCGTGCCCAGCTGCCAGCCTCATAACTAGACCTCGTGATTGCACTTATGTGCCCATGAAAGCAAGTGTTTTGAACTGAATACTGCTGTAGATGATAGATATAAATGTCAGAAACCCCACAGACACCTTCAGCTCTAGGAATTTGTGATTTCTGAAGGCAATTCGTGGTTTGGTGTTTCAAAGGAATTTATTTTTAAAAAAGAGTGCTTTAGCCAAGAGTGTGGAAACAAGAGCTGGCTAAAAAACATGACATGTGCAATCTTGGGTAAGACAATTATTTTTAATATTTCAACTATAACCTGAGAGGAGAGGGAAAAAAACAACCGTCTGTTAACAATGTCTGTAATGGTCTAACAGCTATATTTATACATAGATATTTATTCAGTTCTATTTTTGTATGAAAAGATTTCACTTAAAATTGCAACTAGAAAAGCACAAGCCTTGAAATATCTTCTTTTGTGTGTTATTGTCAAGGACTCACAGGGTCATACCACACCTATGAGATATATGGGTGGGATTAAGCTAGCTTTAAATACCTGTCCAATGACAGTCACATTTTATATACGTTGTTAACATGTCCATGTAGGTTCTTTTTTTTCTATGTATATACACACACACATATATATATATATGGTTGTCAGAAAGGTTTCAGGACTGGTGTCACAAAAGATAGATTTCAGATCCAAACTACAAACTACAAGTTTTCCCCTTCAAAGTAATCCCAGCACGTCTACAAAGAGATCCTGCGGCACTTGCTTTGTTCAGTGCGCGAGAAGAGGCGAGAGTTGTGGCAGGACAAGTTGTGGCTGCTTCACCATGACAACGCGCCTGCTCCCAAATGCCCTGAGCATCCGACAGTTCCTGGCTGAGAAGAACATCACTGTGCTGGAGCAGCCTCCCTACTCACCCCACCTGGCTCCGTGGGATTTTTTCCTCTTCCCCAAGCTCAAGGGGGTCATCAAGGGGACCCGTTTTAAAGACATGGACGACATCAAGATGGCTGTGAGGACGGAGCTGAGGAGGATCCTGGAAGAATCCTTCCAGGAGTGCATGGCGGCGTGGCAGAGAAGGCTGGGAAAGTGTGTTAGACCCCAGGGGGATTACTTGGAAGGGGAAAACTTGTAGTTTATAGTTTGGATTTGAAATATATCTTTTGTGACATCAGTCCTGAAACTTTTCTGACACACCACATATCCTACAAAGCACATCATGAAATGAGCAATCAGTGCCTTGACTGATCATTTCCATCTTGAAATTTAAAAACACAAATTAAAATTTTAGGGGTTTCACATTTGACAAACCTAAGGAACCAATCCTGTCAGCTTTCAGGATGGGACTTTCTGTGTCATTACTCTTGTTCAAAATTGATTTCTGGTGTGAACATGTGTGGCTAAATTACTCCAATATTGCAACTTGCCATTGTGTACTGTGGCGTAGTTGTAGCAGAATCATAGGTGAGCAGGTGTGCTCAGGTTGTAGTTGCATTTTAGGACAGGAATGTTTGATTCACAGAGATGATTTTTTTATGAGTTTAATCAATGAACGAAGAGGGACTTAAACATATAAAGCGATAAATCATAGTGCCAAAGTAAACCTGTGCAATAAAGGCGATAGGGCCATTCAACACTATAAAATTGTTCTCTCTTTATACCCTTAGTATCAAAAGATTATGGTTATTACTAGAAACATTACAGCCTGGTATAAATGTACTATGGTCTATGAATAATTAACAGGTCTGCTCTCTCAGAACATGTTGCATGCAATGTATTTTAGTTTAGTAATCTTCAATTCACAAGTCCTCACGTTACATCCTGGCACATGCTAGAATGTTAACATGCTACACAAAGACTCAAAGAGAAGAACATCCATTAGAAAAAAAATATTTCTTGTGTACACTGTATATGTACATAAAGCCTGTGGCAGCAGCTTTGGCACTATGATGCTGAGATTAATATTGAATTAAAAAAAAAAAACTTCAGTGTGGCATTTTAAAACTCGCCTTTCACTCTGTTCAGAATTGCAAAATGTTAGTAGTATTGGTGTTTGGATACTCACTTCCCCTCCACCTTCCCCTGCCCACATTTCTTATCTGTAATAACAATGAATATCAAGTAAAGGCAGATTATCAGAGGGTGGAAGTGTTGACGTACGAGTGTAAAATTAAACAGCTCAGCGTCATGGCCCTCATACCTTCCCTTGTTACTCTGGCCTACAATTAGAGCAACACTCGTGAGTCAGGGCACTGATCCGATGTGCAGCAGCAGGTGTTGTAGCTCATCAGATGTTGTAACTTGTCCACTGTAGGAACAGTGACACAGCTCAAAGAAAGCACCTATTACCTACTTCCAGTGTCCAGTTTGGGTTTCTGTATTCACTGCTTTTCTTTCAACATAAATGTGCTTCTACTTCTAGAGCAGTTATTTTCGAATGTTGTGAGTGACATCTGTAATTACACAGCAGTAGAGCCAAGCAGGGTAATTGTGCCATCGTGGAAATATTCAGGTGTCAATAAGGGCTCCGGGTTTAGCCTTTCTTCACGGTTAAGATTATGTGTAAACACCCCGGGCAGCCGGTTGCTCATGTGGAGAATTTTGCTGATTCAGCGTTTTCCGTGTTTATGTAATCAAGTCAGGTCGGGTTTATTTATTAGTACAAAATCACAGTACACACTGTACCGCCTGTGTTGCACTTCCACTGGAAACCCTACGTTTTAACCAGACGTTGCACTGCTAGCTCATACAAATGTGTGTGTCTTTGCTATCTGCAGCCTTTCGTCATCCACGACATGGAGACCCTCCAGCTGGCAGAGCAGACGCTGGTGGCCAAGATGGTCGGCTCTATCGGAACGCTGAAGGACAGGGATCCCGAGGTTCGGATTTTTCATTGCTGCCAATGCACCTCCGTGGAAACCGTCACAGAGCTCACAGAGTTCGCAAAGTCCGTCCCCGGGTTCTCGAGTCTGGACCTCAACGATCAGGTGACTCTTTTGAAATACGGAGTGTACGAGGCCCTCTTCGCCATGCTCGCCTCCAGCATGAACAAGGACGGGCTTCTTGTAGCGTACGGCTCAGGCTTCATCACCCGAGAGTTCCTCAAGAGCCTGCGGCGACCCTTCAGCGAGATGATGGAGCCAAAGTTCCAGTTTGCCATGAAGTTTAACGCACTGGAGCTGGACGACAGTGACCTGGCTCTGTTTGTGGCCGCGATCATCTGCTGTGGAGGTGAGGATGTAGCGAAAATAGCATTTGTTTTTTTGCTCTCTGTGACAAATGTGTTCATATTACAGAAACTGAATAATTTGTAAAATATTCAATTCTGTCTATTTCTTCTGTGATTAGACCGACCAGGTCTGGTGAACGTGGCACACATTGAGACGATGCAGGAGAGCATTGTGCAGGTCCTACAGCTCCATCTGCTGGCCAATCACCCCGATGACACTTTCCTCTTCCCCAAGTTGTTGCAGAAACTGGCTGACCTCCGGCAGCTAGTCACTGAGCATGCACAGCTGGTGCAGGAGATCAAAAAGACAGAGGACACCTCACTGCACCCACTCCTGCAGGAGATCTATAGAGACATGTACTGAGGATTGTGGAGGATTAACCCGGAGAGGAACACCACAAACCATCTCCTTTTTGTCAGGGACATGAGAAGAGGAGTCGTCCTCCATAAGCTAGGGTTGAACTACTTAACCCCATCACCCCCCAATGCAGCAAGAGTTAGCTTTTGGCTTCTGGTCACCTCAAGAGGACCTTTCAGGCCCCAGGCAAGAGGCTGATGGTTCTCTTGGTTTGGCACAGTTCTCTCCACTCCATCGCGTGGATCTTTGCAGGCAGAAAAATCTCGTAGATAAGATGTGATATACTAGTGCAGCTGTTTGAGCCCCTGTCCAGACACCAGTGTATGCAATCTCTGACCAAACTCTAAATGCTAATTTAGGTGATCTCCTTGGTTGCCCTCGACGAGCCCTAAAATGAGGAAAGAAAGTGAACTTGATAATTGCCACTCCAGCATTATGTTTGAATATAGATTTTTATACAGATGTCGGAGAGCAAAGAGCCATATATATATTTAGAGTTAACAACACCGAAATTACTTCAGCGGCAGCAACAGCAGAAATGATGCAGTTTCAAAAGCAAGGCAGCTTTGGCTAAATAGGCTGTCAGTAAAAAAGTAGTGATGGTAGTTAATGCACCAGCCCTCCAGCATGTTTCCTCACCTTTTTACAACCAGACACGTCTGTGGTGTCACCAGGCTCCTGAGTATAATCATTTATTTTGTACTGTATGTCCTCGAAGCCATACTTTGTAATGATACTGGAAAGTTTCATTGTCTTTTCGTAGCCTTTCTCTTCCTAATTATACAGTATCAAGAATTGCTATGGATTATCATCGCTTATATCTCAACTTGTCCATAAACTGTACAGGCAACAGCCGTTTTACTCTTTAGAATAAGGTAGCAAAATGTCAGGAGAAAATCTGAAGTTCTTTAAGGCCGAAATGATGCACCTCAAGAGCACAAACACGCCTGAGATATGTTCATATGACATTTTTGTACCGGACCTCTGTTAAATGCCTTTTTCACAAAACACTAGCACAGACGTTTGGCACTCCACCCTGCTTTGTGTCCTGATATTTAAGGGCTAATGCCGAGATGCTGTATATCTTGCATTGCGACTTTAACACAGGCGGACACAAAGCTAGAAACTCATACACTCAATGCATCTCTTTATCTCAGTTAAGTCAAATCAAGCAAACCACTGTTATTTACACAGCACATATGGTCATGTTGGCTCTAGCTACTATTGTACTTCACTGGCTGTGTTTGCTCCTCATTACACATGCAGCTCATTAAGATTCAGGGGTCTTATCTGCACATTTTTGTATGATGACAACTTCTTCTTTTTTTTTTCTTTTTTTTTTTTTTAAATCCCCCACAGAGAAAGCTACAATGTAATGGCCTCATATATTACACAGTTACTCTCATAATTGGAAGTTTTTCATTCTCAGAAATATGTTATTTTGGATGAAAAGAATTCCGTTTTGCTCTGGAGGTTTCCCAAAAATTGCTTTGTCAATTTAAGCGAACTGTCCATCTGAACTTCCACATTTAAAAGATGACTCTGTAGACTTTTCTTCCCATTTAGTCTGTCCAGTGATGGATGACGATCAAATGTATCTTTTGTCATTTAACTATGATTCTAAGGTGTGTGTGTTTAAAAAAAAAAAAAAAAAGGCCACTCCTGCATCTTGTTGTCATACTGCCTTTTGTATGAAATGCACATGCTACTCGGAAGAGCTACACTAAGGGAATGTTGATAAGGAAACGATGAAAACGTGCATGTCTGATAGTTTGGGTAAAAAAAATATATGTGAATCTGTGAGAGAATGCTTTTCCACGTCTAACCAAAATGTCCCAGAATCATCATGAGATTATTGAAATTAAGTCCCAAGAAATGGACCTTGTGTTTCTAGTTGCACCGCGTTGTGTAAACAGAGTGTACTGTACATAGCTGAAATGATCACGTTGACTGCTTGTCCCAGCTTTTAACTCTTGAGGTATACAAGGTACTAATGATGATCAACTTTTGTATTCCTCAGTTTGGTAAATACTTTGAGATATTTGAAATTTGACAGTAAGTGTAGTTATGTACTGTATGTTCTTTTTGCTTAAATGCTACATACTTGTGTATTAATTGAATCGGATCATATTTTTATACTAAAGTATATATGTATGACTAAATCTGATAATTGTTTATTTGAAATTGCACGATTGAAGAGTGCAGTGTAAATAGACTTATGGTGTAACAGGGCAACTGGTAATCTGAATATCTATAGATTTGAATCCCATTGGGGACATTCCTTTGATTAATTGCTTTTTTTTTTTTTTTTTTTTTTAGATAGAAAACCATCAAGGCTGTAATTTGTCCTCACTTCCTTTCAACTGTACTTCATGTATCTGTTAAATTAAGCTCTTATGATTTGAACTTGCAGCATACAGGGAGGCTGTGCAGGGCTGTACTGACTCACAACTTTAAGGTGGTTGATTAAACCCTGACCTCCGTGAACTCTGAATACAACGAAAAGTTTATCACACAAAGCTACATCTTGGCACTGATCATACAATACTGATCTCTTTTTATACTCTTCTCTCAGGTTGCACATCAGAACACAAGTAGGGTAATATATGCACAGAATTTCATTGTAACTATCAGAAATGCTCCACAGTTGCCTCCTCATATTGACAAAAAGCAACCCTGTATCTTTTTTTTTTTTTGACACATCACGTCTCTGTTGGTTAATGGAGAACCTGAATGCACTCATGATTTGCCATCACATCACATGCTATTACAGTAAAGATGACGCAGTAATGAAAATGCAGTATATATATATATTGTTTTATAAACCTGATTTTTGTCATGCTTTTTGTCTGACTTTTCTCTCCTCACTCGCTGCTATGTTGTACTAACTCACCAAACATTTCTTATGCCATAAGTAGATTACTGACCTTCAAGCTGCCTCTACTTACTTATGATATCTGGTCACAGAATGTCAGAACCACATGCAGACTTCACTCAATGCAGCTCAGTTTTTCACCTTGCAGATTCCTGGGACACGGAGATCCCAGATATGCTCGGGGATTAACCACAAACAATGTGTGCCTTAGTGTGTGTAAATGCCATAAAACACCAGAGATTTTAAAAAAAGAAAAGAAAAAAAAGACTTTACTTGAGCACACACTTGTAGAACTGTAAAGTTTTCGTGTCTTCAGCTAGATTTAGCTGTTAGGGTCCTGCAGACATGAAATGATGTCACTGTAGAGTTAGGGAAGTATAAAGTAAAACTGAGTGCTAATTGAAGCTTCATGTACCATTTAGAAAAGTAACCGTAAAGGATTTGCTTTCCAAAAAGACAGACTATTAAAAGCTAAAATGGTTGAAACTCTAGAACGAGGCCCAAGAGGAGAAGTCATGTAAATTTGTGATGTCGGCTTACCTTTAGGAATGTCTGTTTTGTGTTGAATTGACAAGGGACATTTTAACTTGTATCAGGGAATCTTAGTCTTCCTTTGTTGAACTAGCTCAGGATATAGAAAGGTACTGTTTCTCCTTCTCTATCGTTCTCTCTTATTCCCTCTGGAGTGAGTTTATAGTGCTCTGCCTTACAGCACACAAATACCAACAACTATATTGATTAATATGAACTTTGTTTTTATTTTCCAAAACTGACATAAAAGAAATTTGTTACCAGGGGGCAGCAGTCATAGGAATTAGATATTTGATTTTTTTTTTTTTTTTTTTTTCTTCCTGAATTTCTTGGAGTTTGTTTTTGTGGCTATAGTATCATGCAGAGAGACGACAGAGACTGTCTTTGGATGTGTTGTTAACGTGTACTGTGGCTTGATAACAATACTGTAAATGTTTGATGAATGTATATTTAGTCATTTAAACAATGAAAGAAATTGACATTGAATGGATTTAAAAATAAATGATTTTAAAATCCATATTTTGTTTTTGGTTCTCTCTGGGTTCTCCGGCTGCCTCCCACAGTCCAAAAACATGTTGAGGTTAACTGGTGATTCTAAATTGTCCGTATGTGTGAATGTGAGTGTGCTTGGTTGTCTGTCTCTAAGTGTAGCCCTGTGATAGACTGGTGACCTGTCCACGGTGTCCCCTACCTTCACCCTAAGTCAGCTGGGATAGGCTCCAGCTCCCCCGTGACCCTAGTGAGGATTAAGCGGTGTATAGATAATGGATGGATGGATATTTTGGATTTTTTTTCTTTTGTCAATAGACAGTGTTGGTGTTAATACAACTCACTTTAATTGATAATGACATTTGCTTTCTTTAATTCTAACACCAAATGCTTTTACAGTCAAGATGTGTCTTTGACTGAAATGTGCACAGACAAAATATTTCTACAAACTTTTATTAAAATGCGTCTTTACCTTTGAACTGTAAGTCATGACAGTTAAGGGCGAACTCAAGTTTACCATCTTTTGGCCTATATGAACCTTCACAACTGAACTATGTTGTTAGTTGTTCTGCTACTGTATCTGTGATTTTACAGCTCTCTGGTTTACATGTGAGAAAACTAGAAATATTGAATCCACTGCCATCAACAAAAGAGAGGATACATTATCAGTAATTACATTAGGTTGCTATTTCCCTCATTGATGGGTATACACATTTCTTACAAGTAAAAACAGCAAAACAGATCAATATGTTTATATCGGTTCAACATGCAAAACACCTTTGCATTGTTTATTGTGAGCAGTGAAACTGTACCACCACTCATCTAGGATACGGAGAAATTGTGACAAAACTGGCTGACCAGAGACATACAGTGTGTCGTGCATCTTTTGATAAAAGACAAAGAAGATTAAAATGACATAAAGTAATTAGAAGTAAATGATCCTATATACAGTGTATATAGAAGAGGAGGGGTAATCTCAGTTGTTTAGGGGTTTGAATCCAAGTCAGGGCCTCCAGTAATGATGCCCTAGTTTGGACCCATTAATTCTACACAAGCCTACCTCCAGTACGAGCAAGAGAAACCATACACACTTGGATGTCACGCTAGACTAGCTACTATCACTTCAGATGATGGGAAACCAGAAGCACCAAGACCCTTCAAACAGGAAGTGTGACTCCAGGTACAAGTACATCTGAGGTCACTGTTCAGAGACAGCAATCCTACATAAATAAGATACTATGCAGGACCTTCAAACTCCCAGGCCTTTGATATAAGACCTGAGCTTAAAGAAGAACCCCAACCCCACCCTACACTGATTTGGCATAAGGACCCTGTAAAACACAGGGCCTCAGCGTCAGGTGTTTCAGCAGGAACCACATGAAGGCTTTAGAGTTTGGGTCCTTCGGGGACTTCCTGTTAAATATGTGTGTGTTCTGGGGGCATTTTATGTAGTACCCATATATTAAGGAGGGTGAACAACTAAATTGCAATATTAATTGAAACTGTAGTGGCAAGGTTTAGCACTATTACATATCTGAAGGCCCTGTCTCATAGAAACTTCAAAGTGTAATGCCTTTCTTCAAATTAAAATAACAAATTCAATTACAAGTCCGGTTAAGGTGTTTCTGTACTTGAAGGGGACACGACACCGACCCTGTGCTCAGAGGGATGCTGCTGGTTCATGGTGTTAAAAGAGACGACAATTGTCCCAAGTGGGTTAGTGTAAAATGATAAATGGTCACTAATATAGCGCTTTTATCCAAAGCGCTTTACAATGTGCTTCTCATTCACCCATTTACACACCAGTGGTTACAGAGCTGCCATGCAAGGTGCTGCCTGCCACTGGGAGCAACTTCAGGTTCAGTGTCTTGGCCAAGGACACTTCAGCTGTGGAGGGGCAGAGGATCAAACCGCCAACCTTGCCATTGGAGGACAACCTGCTCTACCACCTGAACCACAGCCCGCCCCAGTGTGCACATGTGCTGATTTTGTAAATGTGAAGCTCTGGACAGGCTCCCTCTTTGCCAGACTGAGTGAATCAGGTTTCCTTCTTCAGTTGTGCCCTGAAACTCCTGCAACCAAAAACCCCCACAGCAAGCAGGAGTCCCAAACTCCCCCCCGCTAGAGGGCGCTGTGCTCCCGCCACTCTGTCCAACCTTGTGCCCTCCTCCTCCGTGTTCTTGTCACATTGTCCAACATGGCTGCGTCCATGGTGAGGAGCTGCTGTTTGGTACCGCGGCATGGCTCCTCCAGTCTCTTCAGACGAACACGTCCTTTCCTCACACTGAAGTCTAAATTACACCGCTCCTCTCCTGCACACAGCGGACTGCTCCTCTCTCTAAATAAACGCGGGATTCTCAAGGAGTCCTTCCCAGCAGACGCAGCGCAGGATCAGCTCCCCCGGCTGCTCCAGTCCGCCGCTCAGACCGTGTACTGCGGCTTCGACCCCACGGCCGACAGCCTCCATGTGGGCAACCTGCTCGCCATCATCGGCCTGCTGCACTTCCGCAGCGCCGGGCACCACGTCCTGGCGGTGCTCGGAGGGGCCACGGCTCAGATC